TTCTCACTATGTCTTATCTCATGCGGGTGATATCAATTTACCGGTCACAACTTGTCTCCAGCACATGCTTTCCCCAAATGATGTGTCTTTGGTGGACCTTCTTAAGAAAAAACCTGCACATGCTACAATGCTCAAGATGACTATTAACAACCGTGCTTATTGAAGACATTCAAAACTTAATCTGTCTGCCTACTCTTTGCCTCTCCTTCCAATTTTCCCCTTGATCCATCAAAGAAGGAGCCGTAAGTTTTTGTATGCTCATGAACAATGCAGCTTGCTTTATGAAATTGGCATTTCAGTTCGTTCGAGAAGTTGGTACTGGTCGAACTGGAAACCGAAGGTGGATGGTGACCTTTGTGAAAAAATCCTTGATGTTGATCTGTCGTTTGGCAGATCAAAAAACCATCCTCTAGCGAACTTCAACAAGCCCTATGCAAGCCAGAATTGCAAAACAATCCTCCTTCGGTTTCCGCTGCGGCCAAGTTACAAATCTCGTTCGCGCGAATTTTCGAACAAAATAAAAGGTCAGACGAGATGAAAGCATTAAGGGCGTTTTCGAAACCCGACTTTTCTTCCTGTTGACCTTTCCTATTTTGACAATACATGCACCAATTACGTCCACCCGCTCAGTTTTGGCGCGCATGTACACCAGCTTAAAGTATGAAGCGACAAGTGGCTTCATGTGATGCCGTTTTCATTAGTCTGCTTAAACAGTATATATCTTCTGAATTGCTGATGCTCTATCACTTTTAGCCACTTCATTTTTGTAGTAAACTTGTGTTCTTCATTCATATTTCTGCATAGCTCGCCCTAATTCCTAAAGTTTATGCCCCTCTACTTCCAACATCTATACTCTTCCGACAATGAGGCACAATTGTATGCATATTACCGGGTCAACTGAACAAATCATGTGGGCCCTGAACCTGGGATTGAGCTTGGTCCATCCCTCTCATGGGTTTGGAAACGCAACAGGATGGGTCACATCGGTCATTTACAAATGTACAATATTAGCTTGATGGAGAACTTGAGTCAGCCTAGGCGGCCTGAGTTGAGTTGAGGCTGCTAATTGAATTCTACAACTACCAACTGAATATGCCCATAGATGCCATAGACTTTAATCTAGCACTGCCTACTTAATTCTATTTAAGCAACCTAGAGTGACCCAAGTTCCTATACGAAAGTTGCGAATAATCTCACTTGGCTGAAGAGGATGAGGAGGGGGGCGGCATTTCCACCTCTGAAGACACACATACCCACGCTAGTTTTGAGACGGAATGGCGAAGATGAAACGGCAGTCCAGCCTGTACGGAGACGGCTTCGGTAGATGTCAATGCAAGACCAGTAGCGGGTCGAGAAAATCGGGCATCTCGACAACAATCCGAAACCGGATGGCCACTTGACAACTTGATAGTTGATCCAGTCAGGACTCCATTTTCGTGTATACCGACTAGTTCAAACGATGGGCCGATAACAGGTTACTGGGTTGCAATTTTAAGAGAAATTTATAAGCTTCGATGTTCAAGAGGAATGTGCTAATTTTGGCAGAAATATTACTAATAATCCAGCAGATATGCTTGATATATTTTTAATTTTAATTCAAGGCATAGTTACATGATCAAGGCTTTTAATTTTTAAATTAGTGATTGGTAAGAGCATGGGCCTTAAAGATGGCATAATTGGTTGGAACACTTATCTTTGGGCTTAATTTAACATTGGATTATAAATTTTACAATGCATACTGCTCGACAAAATCTGTGCAAGATTATTTCTTTTTTGTCAACACTTTTCTGTCGCACCTTCTTTTTAAAAATAAGAGCAAACTGGTAGGTAAGGTTGGGGAGGG